CAAAAAAATTTTTTAAATATTTACACTTTACAAGAAACAGTTCCTTGATTCTTTCCACGAGCAGTAACGTTCTACTCTGTGTATGTAACAATTTAAATCTAATGGGAAATCAAAGTTGATTACATTAGATACGAATTGGAAATCGATGCCGCGTGCTACACCCGATTCCTGGTCTTTTTTTCGTTTGCTCTTTTTCATTTTTATCACATGCGGCTGTAAAAAATAAATATGTATGAACAGGATGATACAAACAAAATATATTTCATTACACATGCATGTGATTTTACCTCTTCCAACATTTTCTCATCCGATGCTATTATAATGTCATAAGTGCCACTGTTAAACTGGGAGACCGCTCTACACCTCGAAGTCGCTGGTAACTCGGAATTTAAAACACAAGTTGGAATACCAAACTGCTCTAAGAACAATTTCAATTTGTAGCATCTATCTACAGTGTGTACAAAGATTATACATTTTCCCCTAAATAAAAAATAAAAAGAAATAATATATTTGCAATAAATTTGGTAAAAATTGTTTTCTATTAAAATATTAAAAATACTATATACTCTACTAAACGTGTGTGTATGTGTAAAAAATTACCTAATTAAATGTAATTTCAATAAGGCATATAAAATGGCAGCTTTATCATTTTCCTCTGCAGCCAAAGTATAGTGAGCCAATTGTGTAGGAGGAGCTAATGGTGGCTCTTCTAGCTTTAAAATTGCAGGATTGTGAAGAATTAATTTTTTTAAAGTTAGAACGTCCTCAGACAATGTGGCAGATGCCAAAACTGCTTGATATGCCGTTGGTAAATAAGCTAATACAGCTTTTAAGTCTTTTTCATATCCAAATGAAAATAGCTGTAATCGATATCATTAAAATAGCATAATCTAACTAAATTTAATTTGCAATATTTGTAAATCATATGACATAAGTACATACCAAATCAGCTTCATCAATGATTAATGTGTCAAGACTATGTTTCAGCATCAAATTTTTTGTTTTTAAATGCTGTAATATTCGACCTGGAGTAGCCACAACAATATCTGGCATTTCGCTTAATAAAAGTTTTTGTGCGTTTAAATCCGTTTGTAGACTAAGATCAACTACTCTAACTTCTCTGCAGCACTTTGTAGTTAGGCTCACGATAACATTAAGAATTTGCTTGCATAATTCCTTACTAGGTGCAATAATTAGGCCCTTAATCTCCTGTTTTTTTTGTGTTCGTTTGTTCATCAGTATTTTCTGAATAAGCGGTACTGAAAAGGCGGCAGTTTTGCCCGAACCTGTACGAGCTCTAATCAAGAGATCCTTTCCTTCCAGTAACAAAGGTATCGCTTTCTCTTGTATTAATGTAGGTTCCATCCAGCCTAGTTTTGTAATAGCCTGTAAAATTTATTTTTAATATATCTTTCGAATTATTCTTATACTTATTGTTTTGTATATTTTAGAAATAATATGTATAAAATAATACTGATATATGCTATCTTGTAATATTTCCATTCGTTAATTATAAACTTACTTTTTGACAATTATAAATCAGTAAATTGAAACTCCCAATAAATAAATCCAATCAAATAATGAAATAACAAAGGCAATGAGAGTTCGGCATGATAAGTAATGCGCAAATTAATAAAAATGACATTATAACATCTTTAAATTAAAACAAATAACATATTTAAGAGGTATTTAAAAAAAATTAATGTTTCGGCTAATGTATATAACCATCTTCAGCGCACGTTGATACCAAATAAATAATTTAAATAAATAAAATAAATAAGATACAAAGAAAGTGTCATGTCGTTAAAAATAATGAACAATATTAATTGCATTGTGAGTTGTAGTCGGAATCACGCTGTCCAAGCTCAGCTAATTTAATTTTTACTAGAGCCAGCAAAGAAAACATTACGGTCACTCTTGATAAAGTTTATATTATACTAATGTTTATATTATACTAAAATTAATGAAATGCTTGCAGATCTTATACTAAAGTCAATAAAGATCCCACTAGAAAATTAACTAATGATTTAAGAATCATACTGACAAGATGGAAAAAATCTAAACTGATATCTGGTACTACATACTAATAGAATATTACTTTGCAATGATACATTCACTGCAAAGTAATATTCTATTGTATGTAATATTCTTGTATTAATTATATTACCAAAAGCATCCATATTAGTTGTATTACCAAGAGAGTTCCATAAACAGAACTATCCTTTCAGAATAATAGTTTTATGTATCCATAGTCCCCTATTATATGCATGCTGAAGACTTTTTTACATAAAATAATTATTAAAAACACTTCTACAATTGAGTTGTATCGATAATAATTTTGAACTTGTTAAAAAATTCAATAATATACGTATTAATAATAAACAATGCCTGTTTATTATTAATATGTATATCTAAACATCTGTTTAGATATTATATCTCTTTTCAAGAACGATCCCATTGAGTTATCTATAGAGAGCCTATCCACTAGATAGGATGTTTTATCAAGATTGTGGAATTTCGAAAAATGAATTCCTGAAGGCGGCTCGGTTTATTTTAGACTTATTTTATTTTGACAAACAAATCTATAAACAAACATATGGAACTCCAATGCGTTTCCCACTTTCACCGATTATCGCAGATTTGATCATGCAGAATCTTGAGAGAAGTATTCTGAAGAGAATTGATTTATCTATCTCATCTTACTATAGATGTGTTGACATAATAACCGCTGTTACCTTCTCGGAAACTGATATAATATGTTCTTGGATAAATTTAATTCTTTCCATCCGAGACTTTAATTTACTATTGAAATAGGTAACACACAAGTATTAATTTTTTACAAATTACATTAATAAATTGCGCTTTGATCGATTAATACCACAAATTAAAACTTTTTCAGGGAGATACCTGAACTATTTTTCTCAGCACCCTCTCTCACAGAAGAAAGAATATAAGCATAATAGGGCTTTTTTATTATCACACCCGACGTTTCATCAGAAAAACTTGGAAAATATAGTTACAATTTTACCAGAGAACGATTATTCATTAACTTTATTTTTGACACTATTTCGACAATTTACTAAAAAAATAAAGAGCTTTAACAATAGAAATACCAGTAAACAAGTTAATAATACGATAAATTTAGAGAATATTTAAAAAATGCCTTGGTTTATTATTCCTTTTATTGAAACAGTTTTGAACAAATTTAAAGATACTATTACAAATGTAGACTGAAAAATTTCATATTTCAGCTTGAACAAATTACATAAATTTATTAGAGTTCACAAGAACAAACTCCAAGTTATTCCAAATAAAATATCGTTAACAAAATTGATTGCAAAGACTGCGATGCATCGTTCGTGAGACAAACGGAGCAGGCTTCATACAAGAATTTCAGAATTACAATCATATTATCTAATATTCATTATAATCATATAGAAGTACAACTGTATGCTCTGTTATTACAGATCACAAATTGCGATGTAATCATGATTTTGGGGAAAAAGTAGAGATTCTGGATACAGAAAGATTATATATAATAAAGACTTATTTCAGAAATGATACATATAAAAGTCAAAAGAAAATCTCTCTCAATCTGAAGACACAGACCTTCTCGACCATGCTTATATTATATCCCTATTATAAACTTGTTATAACAACATTGCTCTTGGTAATAAATATTTTTAACATCTTGATCTCCATACAGACAACAATCTTTTGATATTCCGTATATTCACTTTGAACTGTAAAGACCACTGATTACCACTAAATTTATTAATTTTATTAATGATAAATACAGCTCGTTATTGTAAACACAATATAATTAAAGAATGCCAAAAACGAGCAATCATTAGATTTATATTTAGTTCTTTATTATTTCCCCATTATATACACTCCTTTCCAGAAAAAAGCGGTACACTATAAATTTAAATAAATTTATCAAAATTCAAATAATATATTCATAACTTGATAAATAATGAAGAGAAAAATATGAATAAAATTGCAAAATAAGGCTTGAAACATCCACTTGAAGAATATTTAAACGGCAATTATGAACAATTTTTTTTTTTTAATAGTGGACGAAAGATGCAAAATGATAATCAAAAATTCGAGTTTGGACGATGCATGGCGTGAATCAGGAATCGCAGCCAAAAGGAACAAAATGCACATAAAAGTATGGAGTGTTATCTTTAAATTTATTTTACAGTTTACAATATCGCCGGTATTACCATTATCTAAGATGTTTAAACAATGACTAAAACCATTTAAATATTGTTCAGAATCATGATCTTGATACATGTTGTCACGGACACCTTAGATGCTAATGCCGGCGATACTGTAACATTCAAGCCTTATAACTTGAAAAGTGCTTAATGGAAAAATATTTTATTATGTTTTAAAAAGCTGTCGAGATAAGCTACAAGAATATGCAATGAAAAAAGGGAGGATTTCATTTAAGAAATTTAAAGTACCTTTCCCTGACCTTGACAACGCCACCCAAGGTCAACATAATGGTACTATTTTATGTCCCTCTTGAAGTCATACAACTTTTGTCTTAAGTATTTTTCAATTTTATGTCTTAGAGTCGAGATATTTTAGTTCATCAGTTAAAATGACTCACTCTGTATATATTATGTTTTAAAAATTATATTTAAAATAACTATATTTTAAGTATTGTCCCACAAATTATTAAAGATAAAAATGTTATTTTAAAAATTATTGTATCTCAAAAATTATTAAAAAGGGAGGACATTTCGAATAATTTATGTATAAAAAAAATAAGAGTGATTGGGCTTGGGCCCATTAGGAAAACCACTATAAAAAACGCACCGAGCTATCTATCGCAAGATGGTGTGGAAGTGATAGCATTTTGCCAAAAAATAAAACAATGTGACCGAAATATGTTAATGCATAATTAGTTTTATAACAAGTGTCAAGTTCTGATTTTAATAAAACTTTGCATACATATAGATTACATAAAGAGATGAATTTAGAAAATATCAGTTGGTGGAAAAATGGTTTCACTTTCTTTATATTAAAGTGATTTTTTACGTTTTTTTTTGTTATATCTCGAAAACTATTCGAGATATTAAAAAATGTGTTTCATACAAAAGTTTTATGACAAAATCATGTATTCATTTGCGTCAATAACATTTTTGAAAATTTTCGGAAATAAATTTTTTTTTAATTATTAACGTGAGTGAAAAGAGGTGATTTTACTGTAAAACTTTTGTATAAAATATTTTTTGATATCTTAATATCTTAAGTTATTCACTTTTAAAGATTTCATATAGATATGCAAATCTGGATGAAATTTTTAAAAGTGAATAACTTTTTTTATAGGCTATTATCTTAGTTTTAACAATTCAGGGTTGTTCTTTTTTGTTGTCCGCAGAATGCCATACCTTCAATTTGCATATAAACTGTAGAATTTTCATATTAACCAAATCATGAAATTGAGCAGACTGTTTTATCCTCGTACAAATATCATTAAATATGACCGACCTTCCAGCATCGCCTTAATAATATTTTTATATATGAATCTTACAATTCTCAGTTCAAGTAAAAGATGCTTTTTATTAGCATCGAATTATTAAATTGCATTGGCAATTTAGTTTAATTGTGGTATTACATACTATTCAGTTTAAAACTGCATTTTAAAGATCATTAAAGACCAACGATTATGCGGCGCGCATAAGTTTACTTGAAAACTGAGATTTTTAAGATTCCCTTATAAAAATATTAAGCATCAAGATTCATTCTATACTATGTTGGTGGTTTGTCATTTTAGATGTTTGAAACACACGGTCGATTCAGATTAAAAATTAAAAATACATGATAAAATAAGCAAAAAATAAAAACAATAACAATAAAAATAACATCAAATTCGTTACCATTACTCTTCATTACAAATATAATGACATTACTGCTATCATTACAGGTAGAACAAAGTAACGATCTAAAAAAAATAACAAAACAGGTAACGGCGTTACAAGTAACGCAATACTTTTCCAATCCTGAATTATTATTAACTAATAAGTAACTAAAGTAACGATTTTAAATTCGTTATCGTTACTATAAAAATGTAATGTTACAGTGAACGTTACAGACGCAAAAAGTAGCAATCGTTACTAAAAAAAAAAAAAAAAAAAAATTCAAAAAAGCGATAATGGTAACGGCATAATAAATAACGCGTTACTTCTCAACCTAATGCAATCCCAGCCAAGGATTGTATCAGTAATGTATACGTTATTTTATTTGATGATAGAATAAATTACGCAATATACATCTAAAAAGATAATATAACAGAGACATATCACTTATATTAGCTTTATTAGAATTTATCGAATTAGCTTTACCTTTAGTATCCTGTCATCCAACTCAAATTCATGGAAATTTTTTAATATTGGTTCAATTTCTTCATTCAATTCCGTATTGCTCACACACATTTTCATTTTTGGTTCAATTTCTTCATTTAATTTTATCTTATTCGTAGACATGTTTATATTTTATTCAAATCTTATTACTTTATTATAAACTTACATTTTATCAACGCTCAATTGCTCTAATACACGTTACGATTAACGATGCACGTGTGCAAACGCGTATAACCTAAAAATAAATCGAAAACATAAACCATGATCTATACGCGTACCATGATGCTCTTACTTCGGCCCATGGAGGACTGGAGAGAGCATATCGGTGGTGGGGGTAAGAAATTTGTAATCGGAAATGACATCACCAGTCAACCGTCTAACGCACTGTTTAG